CTTGATCCAGTTACCTCAATCACCATTTTTGGTAAGCAAATATCTGATTGTGGGACAGAAAGACATAAAAGACATGTATTCACCCATCCCGTCAGTGGAAATCAGTGCTGGTTTCTTTTACCAAGCTTTCCAGACTGCATGGCACTTGCTTTTCCGCCTATGGTTTTCCATTTCAAAGCCCTGTGTCTCCATGTAAATACAAAAACACAGTAATCCAATCTGACCCCATTGCAAATTTTCCAGAAACTATTGGGGGGTAGTGGGGTTGACATGAGCCACACACTTATCCCACTTAACCTCTAGAGAGAAGCCACCCTAACCCCTTAGTCCAAGATTCCCTTGGTTGAGGAATGCACTGCTTTATACCACTCTGCTCTTAAAAGCACCATGTCTCGAGGTTGCACTCAATGGCAAAACCTTCTAACTTTGTGAGACCATAAACCCAAAGCAGCAGAGAGTGGATGCCAATGGTGGGGAAGCTAAATGGACAGCAGATACCAACATTGGGGCCTTCCCTGGCCACCGTTCTGCCCAAACCCAAATACTTTTTGATTTAAACCCAAAATAGTCCCTAACAGTTACATCTCATGAACATAGCAGGAGCATATTTATACTGTGCTAACTTGATGACAAATAACCTGAGGAATTTTCTGTTCCCCATTTACTATTGTTTGCTTTTTAGCATGCAAAACTAGTTCCAGTAGAATTCCCATTGCTCAGGATACAGCGGGAAAGATGCTTATCTCCCACGTTGGCGAGTGGTGGCACGTAAAGCAAGCTGAAGACTTTTGACACATGGTCCACATCTGAGGCATTTGCCATGAGTGTCTTGATCACACAGCGTGTAGCTACAGAGAAAGCCTGACGGCTGTTTATGGGGTTGAGCAGACAAATCCCCCGCATTATACTCTACAGGTGATGCATGCCACTGGACTGGTTTTGTTCTAATAGCGTTGTGTACATTGCACTTTCAAAACGCAGCTGTCAGTTCTTACTCTTTTCTGCAGCAACAGGAATAATAGGCATGGCCTGGTTTATGTAAATAGGAAACATTTCGCAAACTTTTTTTGTGGGCTCCTTTGGAAAACGCAAGCCATTTTAAACAAAACACAAACTCCTGTGATTTCTTGATCTAAACACGATTATACTGAAATGTTTGCATGTAAAGTTTCTCAATATCTAAACTGGCGACACTGATTTCATTCCTTTCACGTAATCAATAAATGTATAAATTAATCCGTTTGTTTTTTATACCTTGTGTCAGATTTGTTTGGGTTTTTTGCTTTATTTTTTTCTTTGCACCCCAGAGGTGCAAAAAAAGAAAAGCATGCCCTGTTTAACTTATGAATATAAAGCTTTA